AGGAGTCGTAGTAGTAGTAGTCGTAGTCGTAGTCGTAGTAGTAGTAGTAGTAGTAGTAGTAGTAGTAGTAGTAGTAGTCGTAGTAATAGTACAGGTCGTAGTAGTAGTAGTAGTAGTAGAAGAAGAAATTGTAGTAGTAGTCGTAGTAGTAGTAGTAGTAGTAGTAGTAGTAGTGGTAGTGGTAGTGGTAGTAGTAGTGGTCGTAGGAGTAGTAGGAGTAGTAGTAGTAGTAGTAGTAGTAGTAGTAGTAGTAGTAGTAGTACTACTACTACTACTACTACTAAAAATAGAGGTCGTCGTACTCGCCGGGTACTATAATTTCTGACCGCGCTGCCCCGAGAAGATTGCGCTGTTCGGGGAGCGGTCGAAACGTAAAGCAGCGACGCGCCCATGCGGCGTCAACCGAATCTGTCGCCGCTCCTCCTCCTCCTCCCTCTCCTCCTCCTCATCCTTCTCCTCCTCCTCCTCTTCCTCCTCCTCCTCCTCCTCCCCCTCCTCCCCCTCCCACTCCTCCTCCCTCTCCTCCTCCTTTCTCCTCCCTCCTCCCTCCTCCTCCTCCTCCTCCTCCATTCCTCCTCCTTATAAATAACTCCTGCCTGTCGCGCCCCGAGGCCAGGTTTCGGGGCGGCCTGGGCGTTTCGCCTGAGACTCCTCCCCACTTATGACTCTGACTATTCAAAAGTGGCAACAATTTCACACATGGAGGGCGGGTCGTTTTCAAAATGTGGCTCTCGCCTTGGCGCCGCGCACATTCTTTTTAAACATTTGCAATCGGGCGGGCCGTTTTCAAAATGTGGCTCTCGCCTTAACGCCGCGCACATTCTTTATACATATTTGCAAGAGCTTCACGGATTGAGGGCGGGTCGTTTTCAAAATGTGGCTCTCGCTTAAGCGCCGCGCGCATTCGTTTTACGCATTTGCAGGAGTTTCACGGATTGAGCACGGGTCGTTTTCAAAATGTGGCTCTCGCCTCAGCGCCGCGCACATTCTCTGTAACAAGTTGAAAGGGTTTCACGGGTTGAGGGCGGTTCCTTTTCAAAATGTGGCTCTCGCCTTAGCGCCGAGGTGCACTCGTTTTAAACCTTTGCAAGAGTTTCACGGATCCCCATGATCAACGTACCAATAACGGTGTTTCGGAAGGATTCAGGATTCTGCGGGTGAGCAATTGTGTTGATTGGCGGTGTTGAAATCCAGAAAATGGCATTATGACACGACTCCGGATCGCCAAAACGCAGCAGTAAGGTTGATACGTGGCGTTGAACTCCCGAGAACAATGTTTTGGCATGCTTCGGGATCTTCAAACGGTTGTCTTCCAACGAGGCAATTCCCTCAATGGAAATGAACCGTTGTAGGGGCCTATGATGAAACAGCTTGGAGGGAGGGTTAATTCCAACATCGTTGATGACTCTTGGTTTACACTGGTCCTCCTCCTCCTCCTCCTCCTCCGCCTCCTCCCTCTGGTTCTGAGAGGGGGGACCTGAGGGATGGGGCCCCGAGGATAGGAAGGGATCCCAGGCTTGTATCTGCATGGTTGGAGGCCCCTCGTCCTTGCCGTCTCTCCCCCCTTCCCGTCTGGGCCTGCCGGCGCCACCCAGCGCCAGCGCTCACGCGGCCCCTTGTTCGGCTACACGCAGGAGGGACCCTGGGCAAGAATGATCTGTGGTGCGCGGCTCAGCGGGGGACGCGGGGTGGCCAAACCTGCGCGCGCAAGCCGCTGCTGCCGCTTCGCGTTCGGCGATCGGGGGAGCCCGCATTCAAAGTCAATCTGGCGAAACGTCACTCTTACGTCATTGGAGGTCCCGCGGGCGGGGTGGGCATGGCAGGAGGGGAGAAGGTCCCGCGCGGAGGTCACCAGGGAGACGGGGTCCTGGAGGATCGGTGTCCCGTCCCGAGCCGCTTCGGCTGACCATCCTATGGCCCCGAGAAGGGCAGCTCGTCTTAAGGATTTCGACTCGGTTGCGAGGCATGCTCGTTTCGCCGACGCTCGACTCTCTAATACTGCCCCCGCTGATATTGCCGGGCTGGCCCGGACTCACATCTGCAGCAGGCTCGGCAAATCACTATCTGAACGGGTGCTCCTTCCAATGCTGGTAAACGTCCTCAACGCAACCTCCTGGCCTCGCGCTCGGTCTCCAGCAACGCCAGGATGTCGCCCTCGCGGACCGGGCCCTTCACGTTGCGAATGAGCGAGCGGCCAGCAAGCTCCGGCGTGGTCTCGGTCATGAACATCACGCGGACCTGTCGGCGACTCCGAAGGGTGTGGTTTGCCAATTGTGTGGTTTGCAACCAGCACTTTGGGAGGCATCCTGCAAAACGTGTGAAAACCTCGACAGGGCTCTCCGCTGTGCCCAGAGGAGGCCGGACGAGGGCAACGTGGTGCCCTCTCAAGCCGCAACGACCTAAATCGCAAATCACACCCCGGCATGGCCACACCTTTGGTGGCCGCCAAACCTGGATCACGCCGCCGCGGGAGCCGGTCCGGCCCAGTATCTTCTCCACCTTCGCGAGCTTCGGGGCGTTGGAGTCCATCCTCGGGAGACGAGTTCTCCGAGCAAGCCAGGGGCGATCGCAGCACGGCCGCAGCGCTGAGCCTGGGTGCCTGGGGTCGACGTAGCCTGAGCCAAAATGGCTACGGGGGGCTCTCGGAAAGGTCTGGGGAGGCCCACGGCGTTAGGGGCATCTATTTCGCTCTTCACGGTGATCCTGACATATCGACACACCAGACCCCCCCGTGTTCTCCCCAACCATTCTGTGGTGATCTGTCCTCGTTTTGATTGCGCAGCGTCCCGCGTTCGCTCACCTCCTCCTCCCCCTCCTCCCTCCCCCCTATGCGCCCACTTCCCCACTTGGGAACACCCCTCACACGTTTCGTGGCCCAATTGGGAGCTCCACCGAAGGCCCCAATGGGACTGGGCGTATGTGCCCACCCACTCACTCTGCCACACCCCTAACTCGTTTCGTGAGCCCCAAGTACCTAATTGGACAAGGCCGCAAGCACTTTGCCAGACTCCTCTCACGTTTCGTGATCCTATAAGGAACTCCACCGAAGGTCCGTAGCAAAGCTTTGCCCGCGACGGTCAATACCGGATCTTTACAACGACTACGAGATAATCTCGTATCCCGCGGGGCAACTTCAGATGTGGTGACTTACGGTTCTCCCACATGAAGCTGCGTCCGAAATCTACCGCTCTGTCGCCCACCGAGATTGCACTGGGGGTCTCTGGCATCACGAGGGACTCGGAACTCCCCCCCAACAGCTTATCACGTCCTATAAACACAATCCTAAGGGCCCGACTCTGGCCCCAGCCGTGTTCGAGACCGTTGGGGTTCTCAAAGGAACTGCCCGTCTCGGAACACCCTTCTTAGACGCGAACCCTATGGCAATCAAGCTGTAGCCGCACCCAGTGTCAACGATGAACCTCATCGATCCGAGTCTCACCTGGCTCTTGGGCCAAGGAGCGGCAACGTCCTTCCCCCATTCAATCCAGAGGTAGCACGCCTAGTTTTCCAAGTCTAGAGCTTTAAACACAACAGTCTGTGCAGCGATGCGATTTTTTCGCTCCTGCCGCTCCCTGCAGGAGGAGGACATACAATGCCGTTATCCAAATTCTGCCCATTCCCGTCGACGAGCACCCCCCCCCGTAGAATCCTACAACATGTCATCTGCCTGCGGCAGAGTAGGCTTCGGCTCCCGCCCGCCAAATTTCTCCTTAATGCTATGCTTTATTTCGGTGTAAGAACTGACTCCGCACGTTTTCTCACGCGTATTAATTTAATCCGCGTTCTGGTTGAACTTACTCCGCTTCGTCTTCCAGCAGAAGAAACCCTACTCCGCGTCCCCAGAAGCATATCCTGCCCGTCTTTTACGAGGCTGAACGACCTCAGATCTTGCGGGATACTTGCCATGTGTGTACCTTGCCCGAGGGCGCGCAGGCTTCGGGTCCGCGCGGGCCATTTGGAAAACAACACTTGGATAAAAGCAACGTAAGCACCCTCCGATCCCTCATCAGCGGTCTCACCATGCATTCGGAAGGCCTTTCCGAGGCTCTGTATTCTGCTAGTCGTGGGCTCATGGCCGAGGTCGGCATTCGGGCCTAATCTGGCCGATCTATTTCGCCTGCGGGACCCGGTCCCCTCCTGGAGGAGTGCCGACCTACCAGGCGAGCGGGGCGCAGTCAACTCCACGCAGAGGAGCGCGCAGCGCGGCACGAGCACGGCAGGCCGCCGGGCGCCAGCGATGGGGGAGCGCGGCGAGGAGGAGCGGCAGAGGCGGGGGAGCAGGGGCGGGCGAGCAGGTCAGGAGGACGACGGCAGCAATGATGAGATGATGCCCCCCCGTGGTGCAGTCCAGCCCCAGCGACGGGTGCGGCGCGACCAGCGGCACGCGAGCCCGAAAGGCAGGGGCGGAAAGCAGGAGGGGCTGGAGGAAGGGGGGCGAAGAGGGGGAGCGAGAAGGGAGGGCAGGAGGAGGAACGCACGTGACCAGGATGACGACGACGACGACGTCACACCTACCCCAGGCAAAGCGCTGAAGAGCCCCCCTCTTCAGCTGCTTGATCCGCGCGGTAGCACGGGCTGCCAACCTGACCCTAGGAGGAGGACGCAGGAGGAGGAGGAGGAGGAGGAGGAGGAGGAGGAGGAGGAGGAGGAGGAGGAGGAGGAGGAGGAGGAGGGAGGGAGGAGGGAGGGAGGGAGGAGGAGGGAGGGAGGAGGAGGAGGAGAGGGGAGGAGGAGGAGGAGGAGGGGGAGGAGGAGGAGGACGCAGGAAGGCTCTTTCCTGCGAAGCCGCTCTCGGACGCCGCCGGCCCCCCCTGGGGTGCCGCACGGGGGCGCGGCGCGGTCGAGGGGGGAGGGGGGGGGGCGCTGGCGCTCTGGAGCGCGCCCTGCTCTAATCCAGCTTCTCCTCCTCCTCGTCCTCCTCCTCCTCCTCGTCGTCGTCCATTTCTTATCTCCTCCGTTCTCCTCCTCCTCCTCCTCCATCCCTCCTTTTTTTGGCTTGTCCTCATCTCCCTCGCTCTCTCCCTCCTCCTTCGCCGATCCTTCGCCTCTCCTTCTCCCCTTCACCCTCCCCTCCCCCTCCCCCTCCCCCTCCTCCTCCTCCTCCTCCTCCTCCTCCTCCTCCTCCTCCTCCTCCTCCTCCTACTCGCTTTTGACGTTCCCCGAGTTACTTTTCCCGAGGCCTCTGACCTCTGGCTCGGGCTCCATAGCTCCAGCGCGCCTCAAGGTGGTGCCATGAGCTCCTCCCCCAGGGTCGTCTTGGAGGCCCGCCTGGATCCAGATCTACGGCGAGCCCAGGTGGGAGTTGAGAGGGGGCAGGTCATCTCAGAAAGTGGTGGGCTTCTCAGAAACCCTCTGGCCTTCTGTGTCCTCGGAGTACAGTACAGTACAGACACCCATGAGCGGGCAGAGCCCGGCCTTACGCGGGGCGAGAGTGGTTGGCACCGCAGTGCCTCAGATGTTCTGCTTCGCGAACTTGTCTTCGAGAGAGTTCCAGAGCGGGAAATTGCCAGCGTAAGTAGGCCTACGTAGCTTCTCAGAGGGCCAGAGGTCTTCTGAGCGGCCCTCCCCCCTGGGATCGCCACCGGCCAGAGGCCCAAATCGTCCCAAACGCTCTGGCTTTCCGTAGTTTTGGCACCCTCGCCGTTTCGGCCGCAAGGAGCGTCCGAGACGGCACGGCCGTCTCCCAAGATCGAAGGCAAAGGGGGGAAGCCGCAATGAAACGGAGCACCCCCCGCTGGGAGGTCGGATTCGGATCCGTCTTCGTGTCATGCGTGCGGGCGAGGCGAAGCTGCGTGGGTGGGCGAGAGAAAAGAACCCTCCTCTGGCCAGGGCGCCGCCAAGCCAAAGGACCGCCATCCCCGGGTTCTCTGGCGGTGGCCAGGGGTGTCCCGCGGGTGCCCGGTTGGTGTTCCGTAGTGAGATCGACAATGAGGTCGACAGCGAGATCGATAGTGAGACCGAGAGTGGGACCGGTAGTGAGATCGATAGTTGGATCGATTGTGATACCGATAGAAACATCGATAGCGGGATCGATGATGAGAGGGATAGTGAGGTCGATTGTGACACCGATTGTGAGATCGACCGAGTGAGATCGATAGTGAGATCGATCGAGTGAGACCGATAGTGATATCGATCATGATATCGATAATGATATCGATAGACCATGAGATCGATAGTGAGATCGATAAGAGATCGATAGTGATATCGATGGTGTGATCGATAGTGAGACCGATAGTGAGATCGGTTGAGTGAGACATTGGTTCCTCCCCCTCACCCTAACGTCCTGATCACCCGAAGGGTGGTCGTATAAGTAGGCGCAGGATGCTCCCCAATCTCCCAGGCGGGCCCCCGAGCTCCCAAGAGGGGCCCGAAAAGCCCCAAGGTGGCCCTCTTGGGGGAAAATTGAGGCCTTACCTGAGGCCTCTCTTCTTTGGCTCCCTTGAGCCTTGAGGCCTTCCCACGGCTGCTGGGGCCATCCGGGCGCCCCTTTGGGCCTCCGGCTGCTGATTTTTCGGGTGGTCCAAGAACGGTCGGGGCCCCCACGCCCCAAGAGGGTAGGATGCAACTCCTGGGGAGCCTTCGTGAGAACGACTGTTACTAACTTCTTCATTAAGCCCGATTGCAAGGAAGCGTGAGGCCAGATTACCCCAGATATGCAGCCTACGATGAAGCCAGAATCAACGGGATTAGCAATACTTAAACGGGATTATGCCGCCTCAGGCTGGTTTTCGACGACGGATGCGTACCAGCGGCGGTGCTGGACTTCACCTCCCAGGAGCCGCATCCCAACCAACGAAGGGGCCCCATGAGGGGGAGCCCGAGAAGGACACTGGAGCCCTTCCGCCCAGACGGGCACCCTTTGGAAATGCCGCGGCCCCACCCCCAATCCCCCCCGCACGCGGGCGCCCCCCCTCCTGAGAGCACGCGCGCGGCGAACATGTCCTTGATCGCCTCGGGGCGGGTGGAAGAGGAGGGGGTGCAGAAGTTCGTGGGAAGCTGCGGCTTGGCGTGCAGGAGGAGGGAGGCCGAGGGGGGTACGGGATGACGACGAGGAGGCAGAGGAGGGGGTAGAGGAGCAGGGACACAAGGTGGGGCAAGGGTGAGGAGACGAAGAGGGAGGGGAGAGGATGTGAAGCAAGACGAGAATGAAGAGTGGGATGAGGCTCTTCCTTCTCCGTGTGATCTACGCGCATTTTCTCGCCATCGATCGAACGTCCATTCCCCGTGCATTTTTCGATTTCGTGCGTCTCTTTTCGCAAGATGACCTCGACTGCTCCCTGATGGTACTTGCCGAGAAACAACGCACACGTCCGAGCGATGCCAAGTTTTCCTACCCTTCGCCTGCTTTTCGGCCAGGGCAGTGGGTGATCGAGAGCATCGGCCCCAGAGATAAAAGCCTGCCCCCCAGAGTTAAGCGCCAGTGAGGGAAGGAAGGGGAAGAAGGACCAATGGTGGAAAAACGGGAGGAAGGAGTGAGGGAACGGAAGGCGGAGGAGGTGTACTCAAGGGCGGAGGAGGTGTACTCAAGGGTTCTTGCTTGTCTCCTAAAGCACTGGGCTCGTACGTTGGTCTGGCCGTATGGCCGCCCGTCGCCGCACCACTTTGGTCACGATTTTGACTGCGCGAGGCTCGCAACTGGACCTGTGCGCCAATCTGGCCGGCTTGTGGCCGCCCGTCGCCGCACCACTGCGACTACAATGACCACTGCACCATGCAGATCCCCTCTTTTAGAAAATCCGCCGGCCCCCCTTGTGGGGCCACCAGGCTGTAGGCCGAAGGTTCGCAGTTTCCTGTGCCAGTTGCAGCTTCCAGTTTCCACTGTTGCAGTTCTGCTTCTTGCTGCTGACTGTTCCTTGTTGATGGACCGCGCGAGGGGGGGAGGCCCAACACGGGCATTTAAACCACGCCCTGAGCGTGTTGTCTGAATTGCTGGGGTGGTTAAAAATTGACACTACTCACGCAGATCGGCGGGGTCAGGGTCCAAAAACACACGGAATTTGCCACATTTCTGAAATTCGGTGGCACCCCTCACGCAGATCGGCGTGGTCAGGGCCCAAAAACACGGGGAATGTGCCACATTTCTGAAATTTGCTGACACCCCTCACGCAGATCGGCGGGGTCAGGGTAAAAAAACACAAGGGATTTGCCTGATTTCTGATATTCGTTGGCACCCCTCCTGCAGATCGGCGGGGTCAGGATGCAAAAACACAGAACGGGGAATGTGCCACACTTCTGAAATTCGTTAGCACCTCTCACGCAGATCGGAGGGGTAAGGGTCCAAAACCACAAAAAGATTTGCAAGATTTCTGAAATTCGATGGCAACCGTGACGCAGATCCGTAGGGTCAGGGTCGAAAAACAAGCAAGTCCCGACACTGCTTCACGGCGGCGCCCAGAGCTCATGATTTAGCTTTTGCATCTCCCATTGTCCGAGACAGGGGGCAGGCGGCATGGGGCGAAGCCCTTACGGACAAACTCTACCCCCAGGATTATCAGCCCTCCTTTTCGTATTGCAGTTTGCATATTGTTCTGTCCCATCGTCCATCCTACACATGAACTCGATACTCCCAGCCGGGCTGGTCTCGGCCCCCCCCGCCATCCTCTGCAACGAACACCTTGCGCGCGCACTCGTTTATCAAACATCAACAATTCTCGTTCACCCCTTGCAGCGAGTGGGACGACATGCGCACGCGCGCGTCGTCGCGCGCACATACCACATTTGTCAAACAACTCGGTTCGCAAGGATTTCAACATCGAGTGTCCGAATACATTTGTTTGTAAATACATATATGTAAAACATACATGTATGCATACATATATATATATATATATATATACATAGATTTATGTATACGTATATGTACATACATGTGTATAAACCACAAGGTTTCGCAGCACGGCTGTTCAAAACAACTTGCGCGTTTTTGCGAATTCAGATGAACATCATCGGTTTTTCCCCATCTTCAGGAAATGCTGCAACACGGGTTTCGCGCGCGCACGTCGAAATCACATGAAATTCCTTGCGCGCGTGCCGTCGCCAGACTCCTTTGCAACAAATGATACGAAGTGCACACGCGCGCGTAGTCGCGCGCGCATGCCGAAATCCAAAAACAAAAACGGTTTCGTAGCGATTTCGAAGCCGAGTGTCCGAACAACATATAACATCACATGGTTTCGCAACGTCAGTTTTCAAAAATGGGTGCGCTCGCGCTCTTGCGAATTCTTCTAAATAGCCACAAGTTTTCGATCTGTTCTTGGAACTCTGCCAAGCGGGGTGCACGCCGTTGCGCGCGTGCTGGGTGGGCACGATCCGGGCCACGCGGGCCACTCACGCGTCGCCCGCGCGCGCATGTCGAAGTCTTTCCAAAACCTTCATCGACGACGCGAGGACGCCGTCATTGTCGTCGGCGCGATCAGCATCTGCGCCCGCACTGGCCGCGCCGTCGTCGTTGTCAACATCGTATCCAGCTTCGCTACTATCATCATCGTATCTAGCGTTGTCGACGTTGCCATGATACCGCGCCCGCCCAAGCCGCCGACTCGCACTGAAGTGCCCGGTGGGATGTGCCCAGCGGTCAGCGCCACAGCGGCCGCGTAGGTCGCGCCAAACTAGCTGGCCGCTGCGCGCGCGTGCTTGGGCTGGCGCGGCCGTAGGGATGCACCAGCCAACGCCAAGCACTCATCACAATTGCCGCCGCATGGGTTTTGCAAGCCAAGTTGCGGGTGGGTGGATGGGATGTTTGCAGGAGCATGGGAGGTGGTTAAGCGCGGTACAGCGTAGTCTATTCTCCTTTCTTTTTTTTTTTTAAAAAAAAAAAAGAATAGGCTCTCCCCCCCCGGCGTTATCCGCCCCCCTTTCGGGTATGTAAATCATATATGATTCTGACCACATGTCCATCCTCAGGGGGGCCGGTATCGGCCCCCTGAGGTTCCCTCGTAAGAAACGATACGCGGGGACACCTTTTGTTCTAACATAAAACTTTTTCGCGAATCTCTTGCAACAGATGGGACGAACTGCGCACGCGCGCGTCGTCGCGCGCGCATACCGAAATCCTTCAAACACCTTCGGTGTCGGAAGGATTTCTCAATCGAGTTTTCAAAACACATACAAAAACATGGTTTCGCAACATTGATTTGTCAAAACAGCTTAGGCGCGAGCTTTTGCGAAATCTTTTTAAAAAGATGGATTTTCAAGATTTTCACAACATGCTACCAAACGGGCTTCGCGCGCGCGCATGCCGAACTCTGTCGAACGCCCTTGCGCGTGTGCCGTCGCGAGAACCCTCTGCAAAAAACGGGACGAAGTGCAGACGCGCGCGTCGTCGCGCGCGTATGCCGAAGTCCTTCAAAACCGGAAGGATCTCAAAATCGTGTCCAAAAAACCTACAAAAACACAAGGTTTCGCAACACGGATCTTCAACAAAAGCGTGCGCGCGCTATTGCGTCGTCGTCGTCGTCGCCGTCCTCCCTCCTCCCGCGTCGTCGTCGTCGTCGCCTGCGTCGTCCTCTGTCTTTCCTCGTGTTCGTCGTCGTCGTCCTCTTTGGCGTCGTGGTCGTTTCCGCCGTCGTTGTCGCCGTGGTCGTCCTTCCTCCTCCTCCCTCGTCGTCGTGGTCGTCGTCGTCGTCCATCGGCGTCTCGTCGTCGTTCCTCCTATTTCGTCGCCGTCGTCGTCGTCGTCGTCGTTGTCGTCGTCGTCGTCTTCCCTCCTCCCTCGTCGTTGTCGTCGTCGGCGTCGCCGTCCTTCCTCCTTCTTCGTCGTTCGCGTCGTCGCCGTCCTCCCTCCTCCCTCGTCGTTGTCGTCGTTGTCGTCGTTGTCGCCGTCGTCCTCCCTCCTCCCTCGTGGTCGTCTTCGTTGGCGACGTCGTCGTCGTTGTCGTCGTCGTTGTCGTCGTCGTCGTCGGCGTCGTCGTCGTCTTCGTCGTCGTCGACGTCGGCGCCGTCGTCGTCGCCGCCGTCGTCGTCGTCGTCGGCGTCGATGACGTCGTCGTCGTCGGTGTCGTCGTTGTCGTCATCGTCGGCGCCGTCAGCGTCGTCGTCGTCGTCATCGTCGTCGTCGTCGTCGGCGTCATCGTCGTCGTCGTCGATGTCGTCGTCGTCGTCGTTGTCGGCGTCGTCGAAGTCGTTGGAGACGTCGTCGGTGTCGTCGTAGTCGTTGCCGGCAGCAGCGTCGTCGTCGTTGTCGCTGTCGTCGTCGGCGTCGCTGTCGCTGCCAAGTGCCATTCGGTACCCACCGTCACGGTCTGAAGAGATTTTGCAAACCAAGTTGCGGGTAGGTGGGTGGGATGTTTGCGCGAGCAGTGGAGTGGACAACTCACTGCGAACAGAAACTAATTCTCCTTTCCGAAAGATAATAGACTCTACCCCCCCCGGCGTTATCCGCCCCCCTTTCGGGTATGAAAACCATATATGATTCTGACCACATGTCCATCCTAAATATGAATTTACACTATCCCAGAGGGGCCGGGATCGCACCCCCTGGGGTTCCCTTGAAAAACAACGACACGCGGGAACATCTTTTGTTCTAACATAAGACTGTTTCGCGAATCTCTTGCAACAGATGGGACGAAGTGCGCACGCGCGCGTCGTCGCGCGCGCATGCCGAAATCCTTCAAAAACCTTCGGTGCTGGACAGATTTCGCAATCGGGTTTCCAAACAACATACAAAAAACACATGGTCTCGCAACACTGATTAGCTAAAACAGCTTACGCGCGAGCTCTTGCGAAATCTTGAGAAAACCATTGGTGTTTCAATATTTTCACCACATGCTACCAAACGGGCTTCGCGCGCGCGCATGTCGAAATCTGTCGAACGCCCTTGCGCGTGTGCCGTCGCGAGAATCCTCTGCAACAAATGAGCGAAGTGCAGACGCGTGCGTCGTCGCGCGCGTATGCCGAAATCCTTCAAAACCCATCGGTTTCGGAAGGATTTCAAAATCGTGTGTCCATATAAC